TTTTTTTTTTAATAAATACATATAATTGTTTAATTTTAGTTATTTTTAATTAATAAATTTTTAATACTTTATTTTATTTTTAAAAAATTTTTTTAATAAATACATATAATTGTTTTATTTTAGTTATTTTTAATTTATAAATTTTTAATACTTTATTTTATTTTTAAAAAATTATATGATTAAATAAAAATACTACCCTTTTCTTTTTTCTACCAATCTCTATCCAATAAGATTAACTTCAATCATTTTTTTTTTTTACTTTTTTTTTCCTTTATTAATTTTTATTCAAACAAACTCATAGAAAAGGTAGTTTGAAAATTGAACCAGCACCATAGGCTGGGGGATGCACCATCAACAAGGCTTCGGCATTTTAGCCAACTGGCCCAACGGGCCGACAGGTGGCTGCCATGCCGGCTGCCAGCCTTACATCAGTGCGTTTTTTTTTTTTTGGTTTCCTGCCCGGTATCCGGAGCTTTGCCCCGATTAATCCGAACCCAACCCGCGTCGCGCACCTGAAAATGGTGAGTAAGTCTCCCAGCGGAGGCTGCTGCATACACAAGGGCTCGAACTTGAGACTATATTTAAACTGAAACAAGCCGCTTATCACTTGATCAATTCCCTTGTTGTTTACATCAGTGCGTTTTAGTTTCTGCAAATCATCACTTTCTTTACAACTGATGTATGCAATTACTGTACACCACTGCAGCACTGCTCATCTAGTTTTGGGGCCAATCAGTGGCCCAAGTGCACATGCACTCGGCGGTCAGCTAGCACTGTTCTAAATGCCAATGTTTCTTTCGAGCTTGAACTCGATTAATTGAAAAAACTAAGCTTTAGTTAAAATTTTTATTATTACTCAATGAATATTTAAATTAAAATTAAAAATTCTATTATATACTTGTAAGTATAAAATTTTTTATACAAATTCTATGTATTATATTTATATAAAATTTTAATTATTTATTTTTCTCCTTTTAATAGTAAAAATTAATCACAATTTTTTAAAATAAAAATAATAAAGAAATTAACTTTAACTATTAAAAATATAAAAATGTATAAATATAGTGCATTATACTTACAAATAAGTAATTTCTTATTTTATATTTATTTATTAAATTTAAATATATAATAACTTATAAATTTAACATGTTTGAAAATATAACTTAAACTACATATTTTAAATTATAACTATTAATAAAAATGTTCCAATAAAATTTATAATTATTTTTTTTCTCAAACTTAAGTTCATTTTTCTACATTAACAGGCCCCTTGATATTAATATCTCAGAGATACAACTATAAACATTTCACTAGACAACATTTTATTTTTATTTTTCCTTCAACAAACAAGTGCAAAGGAGACATACCAAAAAATAAGCTGAGGAAGAAGTTCAAAGAAAGCTATTCAATTAGAAGGATTCTTCTCTAAACCATGTGCAGATATCAAATTTGCATCGCATGCATGCGGCCTCAGCCGGCAACGGATACATTATAGAGTTTTAGGTGAAGAAAGATATTCAAGGAAATAAAAATGCAATTTCCAACAAGCATACTTCTGCAGTAACAAAATTCTGTAAAATAAAATCCGAAACCTTCTACATAAATTGAGTTATCAAAGTTGCTTGACATTATAGAAATCCATGTTAAACGTCATAAAACTCAAGCACGAGCAGTAGGGCGAGGAGCTTGACCTGGCTGACCAGGCCTCGGCATGTCATCCTGAAAAAGATTCACATATTTTATAAAGAAAACATATGATAACAAACAAAGTTCATTACAAAAACAAAGAAAGTATCTTTCAACTTCAAATTTTCAATTTTTAAAATATCATATAAAGAAACCAAAGAACAACTAACGGTAATTGACTGACCACCATCTTAAACCACATATTAATCACAAACTTTGCACTTGTAATAAGGAGTTCAAATCTTGCAACAGGAAAGAATAATGACTGCAAACCACATGATTGCATAAACAAACATGAGGCTCCCAAATAGAAATAAAAATACAAATGTAGGCAAAGAATGGCTGCTTCCTCTAATTGTTGAATATCATATGATTTATATCACCCACGACCTATCAATTCAGAAACTACTACTAATTCTTCAACTTTGTAACTATGAATCATCATCTATCAATTCAAAAACCACCACTAATTGTTCAAAATTGTAAATTTATAAGAAATCAACACAGGTACTGTATTTCCATTAGCCCCAACAGAGAATCCACTATGTACAGTTATCGCTAAAGCTAGAAAATATAAAATAAGGGGCATACCCTGCGTCTGATGAAGCGCTGTGGTGGCTCACGCTTCCTCCTATTAGTGCGAGATCGAACTCTCACAACGTGAGAGTGGATGGCACATGAAACACAGTACTGCATCTTGACATACAGCTTAGGCAGAGTATATGCTACATAATATTAACAAAAACAAAATAGCATTATTGACCATACACAACCATACAATAGATAAAGATCATTAAGAATCATAGAGAGTGAAGGAAAAGATTATTACTATCATAAACGCAGGCGTCTTGCACGTCCCGTACAGCAGCTTGCTCCACAATGTTCCTCACAAGAAACCTCTTGATAGCCTTGTCCTTTTGGATCACAAAACAAGAAACCCAGAAGCTAATAATCAAGACCCAGTTAAAAAGCGCATCAATTTCAAAAAGAAATTAAGAGGCTGGTATCAATACCTTGGGGCAGCACTTGCCGCAGTTGGAGCAGCGGATGAACTTGACATGGCCGCGGCCGTGCTTGTTGCGGCCTCCGTTCCGGCGCTTGAAGGTCTGACAGATGAGAAGAAATAAAGCGATCAAACACAAAGATAAAAAATTGCACCAGGAAAGCACATAAAGAAAAGAAATTGGAAGGAAATGGGAGATCTTACCATGGTTGGTACCGAGATGAAGGAGATGTGAAGATTGGAGTCTGCCGGCTACAACTAGGGCTTCTGGTTGCTTAAGTGCAACAACAGTGTTTTATATTTCGAAAATGTGATTGGGCTGAAGCCCTAAACTTTTATTGATTTTACTGGTTTTATCCCGAGGTTTCGGTTCTACGCCAATTGTGACCCATATCTTTCAACTAAACTAATCACCATTTAATTAACTTTTTTGTTTGAAAGCTTAGACCTACTACATGAGACTGAGAGTAAAGAATTTACTATCAAGTAGTAGTTCAGGATTTGTTGTCCACGACCACGAATCATTTTCATATTATTATTATTATTATTATTATTATTAACTTGAATATAATCATAATGTAACTCAAAATGATACTATAATGTCAAAATCTATAATATTTTATTCACTACCATTGACATAAGTCAAATCCAAACTGCTCATATTGGCCTTGGGATATCAAGATGCTTAGCATACATATGTCAAGACTCACAAAAGCATCGTTCTTAGACAAGGTTAGCAGTTAATTTTCATCGTTTGAGATTGCTTGACTATTGATTCAGGTAGGATGCCTAATTTAATGACAAAGGAAAGAGAGAGGTACAAGTTAGAAGGAAAATTTTCCATCCAAAACAAACATGTTAAGGTATCCCTCAAAGGGATTAGTCTCAACCACTAAAAAAGGTTATTATTCTCAAAAGAGTTAACCATTAGAGTGCTCAACATTTATTGAATACATCAATTACAAAGGTTAAAAAAAAAAAAGAAGAAGCCGTCATTAAGTATAATGCACCATTGTTTCATTGCCATCCAAACAAGGGGATGGTGTGCCTTGCAAACCCATACTGCAACAGCCGCTCCTAGCACGGGAGCATTCTTTCTCATGTACCTCACTAGCGTATTTTCAGTTGATAACTTTCCATATGTTCTTCAAATAATCTGGCCTTCCATTCTTGTACTACAGGGACATGGTAGATAAGTCATTAGAGAGAGAGCAACAAGGATTTATAATGCTTGGTCAAGAAGATCAGCAAAATTGGTGCCTTCTAGGAGACCTAAGTAAAGTTCCAATATCTTTATTTCTTTAGAGGTTAGTTCATAATCGTGACTGAGAGAGCCATAATGGAAGTACCTGATAATTGAAATAACATGGATATTGCTACTTCTGCATTGGTTGGGTGATCATGAATAGAATCATTCATCAATGATACATTCTTTTTCAAGTAATGAAATCACATGGGACATATCATTACTACCAAAAAATCACCTACAAGTCGTATGCATGCTCCCAAACATCAATTCCAACCAAAGGAACCAAATTTGGCCCCTTACTTACCGGTGGATCCTGTAACAAAATTTTCATTAGCTGTTATATAAAGGTCAAACAATCACCATCATTTCCTATATTGAGTCATATAAACTCTCAAGCATTGTGGCAATAAGATTTTTAACCTAACAAAAATTTTAAATCTTTATAACTGTGTGCAAGCAGCGTGCACCTAAAATAAACAGAGATACATACAACAGATCCATAAAATAAATGGTGAGCAATATTTTTCTCATCACAATGAGTTCAATAAAAGAATTGAGAAGGCTAATAATTTTATATTGAATATTCCCGCTTTTGATAATTAGCATTTCTGCAGGGCATAAGGAGTAAAATATGAAAATAAAAAACGAGTGATGATATAGGGACAACCTTTTGATACCAGCTTTTGATACAACTTCCACATATCATTAAATGAGTGGATACACTAAATGAGTGGATATATTTAATATCAGGAGTCTCATATGAATAAAAAAAAAAACCAATCATTTAAATAACACGTTAGATTGTACCAAAAGATGGTATAAAAAGGTTGTTCCAAAATCATTTTCAATAAAAAACCAACTTTATATTCAAATTAGGAAACCTAACTACCCAAAAATATCAACATTGGTGCAATGTTGTCAAGAGCATTCGCTTTAACCACTTAAGCGGTAAAGTGGAGCAGTCTGCACCTCTAGCGCTTCAGTAATTAGTGAAGCGCCAGACTTCAATGAAGCGCCCGCTTCACTGCTTAAGCACCCAAAGCGCTGGCTTCTTCTTTTTTGTTCAATTTCACAAAATTATCCAATTTAACCTTAAAATTTAAGGGTAAAATGGTACTTTAACATTTTTTTTCCCTAAATAAAACCCTAAAACACCTAAAATTGGATCTGAATCGTGATTCAGTCTCGACACTGCTGCTTCTTCTTCTTCTTCTTCTTCTTCTTCTTCTTCTTCCTTCAAGATCAAGCATCTTTCTTCAAGATCAAGCTTATGACAATAAAGATCCACATTCTCTTCGTTTCTTTTTTGCTTTCTTCAAGTTTGATTCTCTCATTCATTCCAAGTTCCAACGTTCTTTCCTTTTTTTCTTCCTCTTTTGCTCTGTTTTTTCACCTGCTTCTACACTTGCTGTGTTTCCCTTTGCAAATGGAAACAACTTCATCTAAGTCCAGTAATAAGAAAGATCCTAGTTGGAAATATAATTCTTTGAGGGATCCTAGTAAACCCAATTATGTTACCTACAATTTTTGTAATAAAACAACTACTGGGGGAATCAATCGAGCAAAGCAACATCAGATGGGGCATTTGGGTAATGCTACAGTTTGTCCAAAAGTCCCACAAGAGGTTAAGGAAGAGCTATGGAATTATTACAACGAGAAGAAGTCTCAAAAATCCACCAGCTCCTTAGGTTCTTTTCAAATGTTTAATTATTTAGAAGATCGTAAAATCGGTGATAATGATTTGGATGAGTTTGAGTTAGTTGAGTGTAATGCAAGTGGTAAACAATTGTTGACTGGAAAATCTGGGGCTGGAATGCAAGGTAGTGGGAAGAAAACCAAAGGCCCGATGGATTTGTATTTGATGAAACCAGAAACTATAGTTCAAAGAAGAAAAGAAAGCAAAATGAGGCAAATGAGTATAAAGGATAGTGATCTAGAAGCAAGAGCTAGGACAATCCAGTATATTGCAAGATATTTTTATCAAACTAGGATCCCATTTAATGCAGCACATTTAGATAGCTTCAAATATATGGTAAAAGCTATTGGGAGGTATGGTCCAAATTTAAAGCCTCCTAGCTATCATGAGTTGCGGGTTCCATTGTTGAAAAAGGAATTGCAACTTACAAATGATATGCTAGAGGATCATAAGAAGAAATGGGCAAATTATGGTTGCTCAATTATGTCTGATGGTTGGACAGATAGAAGACAAAGAAGTATAATTAACTTCTTGGTGAACTGTACAGCAGGCACAATGTTTGTAGAATCTGTTGATGCATCTTCTTACATGAAAACAAGGGATAGATTGTGTGACTCACTTGATACTTTTGTGGAGAGGATTGGAGAGAAAAATGTCATTCAAGTGATCACTGACAATAGTAGCAATTATGTCTTGGCAAGCAAATTGCTACAAGCTAAAAGAAAGAATTTGTTTTGGACTCCATGTGCAACACATTGTGTGGATCTCATTTTAGAGGATATTGGAAAGCTGCCAAATATAAAAAGAACATTAGAGAGAGCCATTTTTCTAGTTGGGTTTATATACAACCACACTTCTGCCTTAAGTTTAATGAGAACTTTCACAAAAAAGAAAGAATTAGTTAGGTATGGGGTCACTAGGTTTGCTACAACCTATCTTATTTTGGAAAGGGTTCACAAGCAAAAGCTTAACCTTAGGAAGATGTTCACATCAGATGAGTGAATGAAAAGCAAGTTTTACAAAGAAACTAAGGGTAAGAAGGCTACTGATGTTATCTTGATGCTTTTTTTTTGGAATGAGATTGTGTATGCCCTTAAAGTTATGGGTCATTTAGTGGGTGTTCTTCGCCTAGTTGATAATGAAAAAAAGCCAACAATGGGTTATATCTATGAAGCAATGGATAAGACCAAGGAAGCCATTCAAAAGGCCTTTGATGGGAACGAAGAAAAGTATAAGAATGTATTTTCTCTTATAGATAAGAGATGGGAAAATCAACTTCATCATCCTTTGCATGCTGCTGGTCATTTTTTGAACCCTCAATTCTTTTATAATGACCCAAGCATTGTAACAAATAAAGAGATTGTGAGGGGGTTATATGGTTGTATTGAAAAGTTAATTCCAAATCATGATGATCAAGACAAAATCATAGATCAATTGCACTTGTACAAAGAAGTTGAGGGGATGTTTGCTAATCCCATGGTAGTACGGTCCAAGAGCAAAAGAGCACCTGGTAAGCAAAATGTAGAAAGTTGGGTATTGGTTTTTTTTTTTTCTAATTTTGATTTGTTAGTTCTTATTTTTTTGAAAGAAATTTATGTATTATTTGTCAATTAATCATTCTCATAATGATGATTTGCTTGCCTTGCTTATGTCTTGAAGCTCAATGGTGGAGTTCGTATGGAATGGAAACTCCAGAGTTTATGTGCTTGGCCATTTAAATTTTGAGTTTAACTTGTAGTACTGTTGGTTGTGAGAGAAACTAAAGTGTTTTTGAGCAAGTAAGTATTTTCTCTACTTGTTGGTTTAAGGACTGTTTTTATTTAATTGTTTTGTATTTCTTTTTCAATTCTTGTAACTTATAAGTGAAGTTTTAGTTATTAATAAAGTTTTATTATGGTGGCCAAAATAATAATTATAATTAACAAGAAAGTTTTAAAACGTTTCACATATATTTTTCGAAGCACCTGAATTAGATGAAACCCTACTGTTAAATAATTTCTTCTCCTACTCCACTGAGCAGTTCTGCAGGTCAAGATATGTTTTGCACACCGCCACACCCAATCCATATATGCATCATAGAGTCATAATTATTTCCAAGCACCAAATTCTTTACTGAAAGAGTATCTCACCCTTAGCTATGACTAGTAAGTATTAACCAACATCCTCATCCAAAAGTACCAGGAATGGAGATAAACTACAACTGCTACTGCAAACACTTCAATAAGTACTCACCTTTACTCATTTCTCATATCAAAAACCCAATACAAAATGAGAAATTCTGACTCTCTCAAGTTCAAGTTCATTACCTAGACTAGACATACTTAGTTTGTTTTTATGCTTGTTGATTTAGGGACTATTTTTATTTAATTGTTCTGTCATTACAATATTTCACATGCAATTTCAATTCTAATTGGACTGATTCATAATTTCAATTCTAATTATAATTTAATTCCATAATCTATTTTAATTAGACAGATTTATAGCAAGAAGAGAAACAGACTTGAGCATAAGAAAATGCAAGATCTTATATTTGTTAAGTATAATCAAGCTCTTAAAGCTCGATATAATAGCAAGGATGAAATTATCTCCCTTAACTATATTGATGATAGTAATGAATGGTTGATTGGAAAAATGGGTGGTGACCAAGATGATGCTAAAAATGAACTTGTTTTTGGTGATGATGACTTGACTTGGGGAGAGGTAGCTAGAGCTTCTGGTGTTGAAGAGCCTAGAAAATATACTAGAAGAATTTGTGGTAGACAATCAGCACTAAAACCTTCAAGTTCTAAAGGAAAAGCTGTTGTACAAGAAGTTGAAAAAGAAGAGGCTGACACAGAGGAATCAGAGGGAGATTGAGGATTATCACTCAAGTGATGGAGATGACAGTAGTGATGATGATGAGATGAATGTAGTTGATGAGAATGACATAGATGCAGATGATTTATCTTAGATTTTGGAATGATATTATGCTGTTTTTGACTTTTTGCACTATTTTAATTTCTTGACTATTATGCTTACATGTACTGCTGATTTTCTCTTTTGATAATTGATGTTATGAACTTTAAAATCTGTTTTATTAATATATCATGTTTGGAGTACATTTTGAAAAGGTTTAAGCTATTACATAATCATCTTTTTGTATTGTCCGCTTCACTTCGGTGAAGCGCCCGCTTCGCTTTCCGCTTCACCACTTAAGCCTTTTGAAGGGCTGACGATTTAAAGCGCTTCACACTTTTGACAACACTATTTTGGTGGCTTAATAGTAATGATACCTAGTTTGCAGTTGTCTCAATCACAAGTTTCTTCACTTCCTTGTCCACACCAAGTCACTTACAGAGGTAAAATGAAGCACATGAGATGAAACAAATACAAATTAGTAGTGACAGATGCAAATGCAATACACAAGGATGCAAAACAATTAAATGAAACGGTAAAATGCTGAAATACTACTTACTACCCATCTACAGCCCTGTAAAGCAGCACCCTTAGCATTCATCTTTTGCATCAATGATTCCAGGGAACCAAAATGTGAGTCAATAACTGAAGTCAAGGATCCGTTCGGTGGCTCACCCCCTCTTTCCTGTCATTTTGTACAGCAATGGCTAAAAGATTCAATTGAATGGGAAAGAGAAAGAAAAAAAAATCCAGAAGTTTAAACTTACACAAACAAGAGAAAGATTCTTCCAGAACACAGAGTGATTGATATAGTCTGCAAAAGATAGAATCCATTCAATAAATAAAGACATTAACAGACAAGAAAAGCAACAAGAAAAACATTTTCAATCACATAAAGTAGGAAAATTTTTCAATATTAGTAAATGGATATACGTGGAACCATATCATTATCAATGTCAAAGAAGCAGAAATATAGGAATAGGAGTAATTATGAAACATAAGAGAGAGAGACACAAGAGTGTTTACATTAGAGTTGGTGAGAGATGGTACTTCCTCCATTAAATTTGATAGCACTCTACAACTTAACGACGGTGGTAGAGTCAGCTTTGGCGATGGCATCATAGAGCTGCTCGAGAGCCTTGTTGTAGTTGGTGATGTAAGCCTGGTGATGTTTCTGGTGATGGAGCTATATAATCTATCCACTAATGGCCAATTCAAGAGTGCCATAATCATAGCGCAGATCAGGAAGCGAGAAGGTCTGTAATTAACGTGATTGAGCCATCCTTGACGCTAAAAGCCTGGCCCCAGTTGCTTTCAGGCCTAGGGCTAAGGTTTTTGTTTTTTTAGCCGATAGAGATCAGAGAACCATCATTTGGAAAATTTTTTCTTTTCTTCTCTTTTCTTTTACAAGGTAAGACTGTAAGAAACGTAGGACCGACGACTTATTGGCCCAAGGAGTCGTTGGTTTCGATAAGAAGAAGTTTTATATTTTTTAAATAAAATCTTAAATTTAAATTTTATAAATAAAAAAATAAATATTTTGAAATTTTTTTTATATGATTTAATTTTAAATTAATTAAAATTTAATATAATTATCAAATACGAAAATTAATAATAATAATAAAAAAATGCAAGACAAAACAGGAATGACTGCAGTCTGCAGGTGCTTTATTTACTAGGCTAGATAGTTTGGTTCTCCGAATAATTGAGCCCATTTTTTTTCTTTAAAGCTCAATGCCATTTTTGTCTATTAAGAAAGATCTAGGAAGGAGGTTTCATCTGGGTTTCTCCCAACATTTTCTGAGCTTTAACCTAGTTGTTTAAAGCCTAATGTAACAAATGATATATGATTATATAATTAATTTTTTATTTAAAAATTTATTTATAATATTACATATATTTATTTATTTATTTTATGTCATATTATCGTATAACTCGAATTAAATATTTTTTATTTTTATTTAAAAAATTTATTTTTTTTTTTTTGAACTTTTTGGATATGGGCAGGTTCGAAACCCGCCGGGAGAGGGGGAAATGCACTTTGCAATGGGAAGTGTCATTGGACCTCTAGGCCTAGTGCAAATTTATTATTAAATTATTTAAATCGAAAATAGAATTATAAATTTATATAATTTAGGTATTGAAAAGTATCATTATCAATTGCCTAAAGTTGGACACATCCAGGAGAAGGCATGTAGCTATCAATCTAATTTATTTCCTATATGTTTTTCAATTTGTATCGTATAGTACATTTAAGGTGCACGAAAATAATTAAATTATTATTATTAAATAAACATAAAAAAATTAAGTGGTAATATGTGAATAATTTTTTTATTTTTTATATAATTTTTACATAATATTAACTAAATATATTTAATATTATAAATTTTAAATAAAAAAATTAATTATTTAAACGACACAAAAATAATAAAAAAAATAATTTTAAAGTTATTAAAAAAAATAATTTTAAAGTTATTTTAAAAAAAATTTATGAAAAATATTTTAGTAATTTCGGCCTCACTGGTACTGCACATGACAGATCGGCAAAACAAAAACAAAATACCCCATAGTCTTTTTGATCATGCTCCCAGACATTGACGCCGTCCAAACTTTCTGGAATCGGCAGAAGGTGCAATTCAGCCCCTCTACGTCCATTGTTGTGGCACATCAGCCCCTCTAC